TGAAGGCAGGGAAATTTTACCCTGGTAATTGATAACAATGAGTCAGTGAGCTTCACAAAATTTTGTAGCACAAATCAACACAGGTCCAACACAAAGTTTAGGCTGAGAATTCTTTGAACTGGCCCTGAACTGGTACTGCCCCTAAGCATCCAGTAGAAACAAACATTCTGACCTATATTCCAGTTTTTTTAAAAAAATCTCTCCTTAGCTGTGTCTAATTTTGTTCAACCCATCTGTTGGATTTTAAAAATTCAATTATTGTAGTTTTCATTTCTAGATGCTCTATTTGGTTCTTTTCCAAATCTGTTTGATCATAAGTCTGAAGAAATTACCAGAATCTAACACAAAGAGAATAAAGCACTGGAAAACAAGAAACAGGTTGAGACATGGAGGATACAACGGTTTTAACATGTTGTCAGAGTTAGAGAAGCAAAGAGAATGAGAGGGAAATCATTTTTAAAAATCCAATCGCTGAGAATTTTTCAGAGTAATAATCCAAGGAGCCCAAAGAATCTCAAGCAGGACCAGAAAAAAACAAACCCACACACAGATGTATCATAGTGACAAACAGCAGAGGAGAGAGTAGACTACTTTCAAAGAATGATGGCTGTTACACTGATCATTCACAGCAGATATAACTGAAGCCAGGAGACAGTGGAATAGTAACTTCAATGTGCTAAAAAAAAAAAAAAAAAAAAAAAAAAAAGAATAATGGCCAATTTAGAATTTTCTACTTTTTAGAACGGTTTATTAAATGAGAGATAATAAAGATGTTTACAGACAAATTAAATGGAGTTTGCTATCCACAGACCTTCCCTAAAAGCAAGCCTGAAGGATGGATCTTGACTCTTACTGAAACCCATGTACAAAACAATTTCCAGATACACCACAAACCTAAATATGAAAAGCAATGCAATGAAGTGTCCAAAAAAGAATTTAAAAAATTCTGGAGTAGGAAAGGTTTCTTAAATTGGACACCAAAATCACTAGCCATAAAAGAAAACTGGTTTTTACTGAAAGTAATAACTTCTGTTTACTGACAGATACCATTAATACAGTGAAAGTTGAGACTGTTGCTAGGAGAAGGTATGTGTAATATGTAAATCTGACAAATGACTGAAATTCAAAATACAGAAGTAACTCCCACAAATCAACTAAAAAAAAAAAATCAAACTAATTTTTTTAAAAGAAGGCAGAAAAACTTCAACAGGCATTTCACAAAAGAAAATAACCAAATGGCCAATAAGCATATGAGAAGGTACTTGGACATCATTCCCTGATTATAAACTAAGATGAAAATAAGAACTGTACATCCCCACTGGAAATTATAATTAAAGAGTTTAAATTCAAAACACTGGAAATACTGTGTTGGGGAGGATGTAAAGCAACTGATCTCTCAAACATGGCTGCTAAGGGTTAGTTATTTAAAAGGACTGAAAAAAATCTGTCTGCTCCTGGCAAAGCTGATCAAGAAAAAATGGAAAGCATAAATATCAGGAATGAGAAAAAAGGATATGACTATAAATCTTATATGTATCACAGAGATAATAGGAGGATATTGATTTCATCTGAATTTTCAAATTTATCAGTATAAATACCTAGAAAATTACAATTTACCCAAAATAACTCAATGAGAGCTTACTTTAGAAAAAATAGTCTGAATAGTTCTGTAATTATTAAATAAATTGAACAACTGATCAAAAATCTGCCCAGATAGAAAAGTTCATGCCCAAGTGGCTTTCAGGCAGTTCTTCCAGGCAGTTCCAAATATTCAAGGAAGAAATTAATTCCAGTTTTACAAAACTTTTCTAGAAACAGAGTAAGAAGGAACATCTATAACTTAGTTTATAAGCTAGTATAGGCTCAACAGAAAAGCCCAATGAAGGCCAGACATGGTGGCTCATGCCTGTAATCTCTGCACTTTCTGAGGCCAAGGTGGGAAGATCACTTGAAACCAGGAGCTCAAGACCAGCCTAGACAACAAACCAAGACCCTATATCTACACATACATAACGACAACAACAACAACAACAACAACAACAACAACAGAGTTAGGTGCAGTGGGGCGTGCCTGTGGTCCCAGCTACTTGGGAGGCTGAGGTGGGAGGATCACTTAAGCCCAGGAGGTTGAGGCTGTAGTGTGAGCCATGACTATCCCACTGCACTCCACCCTTGGAGACAGAGCAAGATCCTGTCAATTAAAACAACAAACAAACAAAAATGCCCAACAAGGAAGAGAAAGGAAGCCATAGGCAATCTCATTCATGGACACAGATTAAAAACACCTGAAGTATATACATACCCACACCCCCTGACATGAATACGTATGAGATATGTAAATGTGAATACCTGTGTGTATATGTATGCAAACCAAATCCACCAATGTAAAATAAAAATAACACATGACTGATGAATTTGTCCCAATAATGCAAGGGCACTTAAGAAAATCTATTAACTCAATTCATCTCATTCACTTCTGGTGGGAATGCAAAATGGTACAGTCACACTGGAAGACAGTTTGGCAGCTTCCTACAAAGCTAAGCTAAACATTCTCTTACCATATGATCCAGCAATTGTGTTCCTTGTTATTCATTCAAAGGTTGAAAACATGTCCACACAAAAACCTGCACAAAGATGTTTATTCCAGTTTTATTCATAATTGCCAAAATCTGGAAGCAACCAAGATCCCCTTCAATAGGTGATTGGGTAAACTTTGGTTATATCCAGACAATGAAATGTTATTCAGTACTAAAAAGAAATGAGCTCTCAAGCCATAAAAAGGCATGGAAGAAGCTTAAATTCATATTACTAAGTCCAAGAAGCCAATCTGAAAAGGCTACATACATACTGTATGATTCCAACTATATGACATTCTGGAAAAAGCAAAACTATGGAAACCGTGAAAACATCAGTGGTTGCCAGGGGTTAGAGGGCAGAGAGAGATGAGTAGTCAGTCAGCCTAGAGGATTTTTGGGGCATTGAGACTGTTCTGTTATCATACTGTAACATAAATACATTTGTCTAAACCCATAGCACATACAAAACCAAGAGCAAACCCTAATGTAAACTATGGACTTTGGTGATTAACTATCACTATGGTGATTATCTTGTGTCAATGTGGGTTCATTGGTTGTAACAAATGTACTACTGTCATGGCAGATGTAGATAACAGAAAAAAACTGTGCATGTGTGTGGACAGGGGGTGTCTAAGGAAACTCTACATACCTTCTGTTCAATTTTTCTGTCAACCTAAAACTGCTCTAAAAAATAAAGTCTATTGAAGAAAGTAGAAATCATAAGGAAAAAAGATTAGTCACAATAAAGTTCATTTTTATTCCTCAAAAAGTACCATCAAAATTGGGAAAAGACAAACCCCATTGGGTCTTAATGAGAGAAGATATCTGCAAACATTAAACCAACAAGAATTGGTATCTAGAATATGTAAAGAATCCCTGTGAACTGGTAAAAACGGACAAAAAGATTGGAGATAAATCATAACTACAGTTCACGCCTACAGCCCACTAAATTGGCAAGAATAAGCCCGACAAAATTAAGTACTGTCAAGGATGCATAATGAACTCACCCAGTGCCGGAAGGAGGTCCACTGTGGAAAGTTAAACATGCACACCATCGATGGCTCAGCATTTTGACTCCTGGAGAAATTCTAGCACACTTACAAGAGATATACAGTGATGTTCACGACAACACGCTTTTAACAGCAAAAGCAAACCATAAAAATCTATACACAACCCAAACAGTTACCAAAAGAGAACATAAAAGCAACTGGGTAACAACCAAAGTATCTACTAACAGTAGAATAAGTATAGTAGTACATTCATACTGAAGCGGTTAAAATATGCCATTCTGCCATACTATTTAAACTGAAGACACATGAAAAACAGCAGGGGCAAAAAGGTGAGTGACCTTTGTGCCGTTTCTTTTTTTTTTTTTTTTTTTGAGACGGAGTTTCACCCTTGTTACCCAGGCTGGAGTGCAACGGCGCGATCTCGGCTCACCGCAACCTCCGCCTCCTGGGTTCAGGCAATTCTCCTGCCTCAGCCTCCTGAGTAGCTGGGATTACAGGCACACGCCACCATGCCCAGCTAATTTTTTGTATTTTTAATAGAGACGGGGTTTCACCATGTTGACCAGGATGGTCTTGATCTCTTGACCTCGTGATCCACCCGCCTCGGCCTCCCAAAGTGCTGGGATTACAGGCTTGAACCACCGTGCCCGGCCCTGTGCCGTTTCTTAAGAGCAGGAGATGGATTCCACTGTGAAAGACACTCTCTATACTATAAGGAAAGGCAACAAATATCCTTATCTTCAATGATAAGTTTGAGATCAGAATATTGTACAAACCTTGTTAGAATAAATATTTAAGCTTCCCACATAATATAGTCACATTTTCAGTTTACTAGTCTATGTCCAATTCAGTATGTAAGTAACTGAGTCTACTTCTTTTGGTTTTTCTTTATGAGGGCTCCTGCACCACATAAAATTTCTATTACATAAATTTATATGCTTTTTTCTTGTTAATCTATGCCAATTTAATCTTCAAGCCCAGCTGGGACCCTAAGAAGATGGGAGGGAGTTTTTCCCCTCTCTACAGTACAATTGGAATACTATTCAATAATAAACTAATTTTGAGAATAACATGAGTGAACCTCAAAAACACTGAATGAAAGAGAATATATAATGAAATAATAATGTATATAAATTCAAAATCAGGCAAAACAGTCTACTGGGAGACACATAACTGGGAAAACTGTGAAGAAAACAAGTAAAAACTATCGCAAAAATCAGAGTGTGACTGTTATGGAGAGGGTGAGTGCAGGTGATTAAGAAGGGGCACAAGGGGCCTGTCCCTGGTAATGCCCCGTATTTTAATCTGAGCAGCTGCTGCACTGGTGTTTGCTTTATTTTTTAAAGTACACAATTACATGTTATATGTAATTTTCTGTCTTTATGATATTTTACAATAGAAATAATTTATCACATTTTCATGTAACTTTTGGTAATAAAATACTTTATTGGTACCGTTTAATAAATGTCAAAAACATAGTAACAGTTCCATTGCTTAGCTTTCATCTTTAAAAGCTAGTTTAAAAACAACAGGAGCAAAAGTAAACTCATTTGATTCTCTCAAAAAACAAGCCGTAACTTACCTTTGCAAATAATTAAGTTCTCTCACTTTAAATATAATTCACTGGTCTTTATAATAAATAATTGTATTAATATATAAAAGGAGACAGTGGCCTGAATTATTTTGCAGAGAACATTTCACACATCTTTTAAAAAAATTCCTATACACTACCACACCTTAAAACTTGTAAGAATAATTAGGTGAGTTATTATAATACTGAATTAATATAGCACCTACAAATTTGAAATTTGTAATATTTCAGATGATATGATTTACTGAGAAAAAGAGTAATGATTTTTTCTTCAGTGAATTTTCAGGGGTTTACGTACTAATAGAATTCAACACAGGTCTCTTTTAAAAGCCGAAGGTTAAAAAATTTATGCATGCTAGAAACTGACCTCATGGTAACAGATCCATGTGTGACAAATAATGTAGTGCAGTCCTATCTGAATATAATTTCTTCTTCACTTTGTCTCATTAACTTATACCTCACTCAATTAAAACATTCTCTATGCAAGTGATATATTTCTCTAAAACATTCCATATTTCAGATTTCCATTCAGACTATCTTCCCCTCTTCCTCCCTTTTCTCAAATCAGAGTGATTTTGTTTTATACCATTTGCTTTTTCTCCCCTCAATGAAACTTTTTCAACTCAAACTATTACAGTAATGCAAATACAAATGTAGCATATATTAATATATTAGAAAAAAGGATAGTAAATACATATGGTTCCATGCCAAATGAGAAAATCGAAAGCAAAAACAAACAAAACCATGCTATGTTCATCTATTCTGAACCACCATGGGAAGATCCTGATGTAGCTGGCTCATAAACTAATGTTCCCAGACACACCTAGGATCCTGTACTCCAGTATAATTAAATGCTCTGTTAAAGATATTTCCATGTTATTTTGTTTGTTCAAAATACTCTACAGCAACTCTGACTACTAATCTTGAACATGATAATAATGTAATATCATCATGTTCAAATTATATGTAATTGTCTTATGATAATGTAAAATACAATGTATTACATTGTATTTTTAATCAAGCCATAGATTCTAACCTACTTTCTACTATTATCCATTTGCTTAAAAAGACTTTTAAGGGGCAAAGCAACAGTAAGTTAAGGAGTTTTTATTTCTATCTTTCTTTTGATTGAGGATTTCAGATGTGTCAGTTATTATCCTCTACTTCAGTGGAAAAGGATTCTTCGAGCTATTAAATCAAGCAGGACGACTCAGGGGTGGGCAAGTGAAGATACTTGTCCACGCCCTATGCCTGTAACATTCCATCTCCTCTGTAAGAATGTGTTCTCCACCCACCAGCAGCCTGGCACATTCCATCCTTTCCACCCAGATCCAATCAGATCCAACCATACAATCCCACATGCAACCAGAACATGGGCATCAGGTAGAACTAACTCAAAACAACTTTTGGGACAAATACCAGATTTCAATTTGTCAATTATTCCATAGTGCAGTATTCTCACAAAACAGAGACTTTGTGTTGAAACATTTGTTTTTTTCTACCCACATCAAGTTGAACTGCTAAAGTAATGTCAGAAACAACATGAAAAATAAACATGTCTTCTCCAAAAGAGGCACTGCATTCAGAAGTGGAATTAAGGCTAAATAAATAGTGCTGGTTTGTGGTTCACTTGGTAACACATTAATTATGATTTCAACCAACAGCTTCACTGTTTGTCCTGTATGCCTGTTTATGAAGATGTGTCTCTATTTCCTCCCTGAAGACCAGCATTCCCAGGTGGGAGTGAGAGGCCTCATTCATGGCTTTAGACTGGATGCACATGCGGTACTGCTCGGGGGTCAGCTCATCAGCACAGCGCTTTTCATGCCAGAGGTGGAAAAGACCAGGAACTGGAGTCCGAATCACAATGAGGTCACCATGTAAATATTTTCGATAAAGATGAACATCTTCTCCACCCCAACCTTTCACTTCCATGTCAAATCCACCTATAAGATCAAAACTGACACTATAAATAACTGCCTATTATTAGCCAGAGCACAGGGAAATATATAAAGGTTTAAATGTTCTGCTTCAAATGGGATGAGATGGTTCAGCACAAAGATAGCACAAGACACCTGGCATAGAGGGGTGAATTCCAGTCACTGGAAGTCCAGTTTTGAGTGGATACTTGGACTCAAGGAGCTCAAGGCTGGTTGTTGAGAGTATCAAAATGGAGTTAAATATTTAAGAACACTGTAAATTTCAAAGTCCTGTAGGAAATCTACAGAAAGTCAAATAAAGAAGAAAATACAGGTCACTTATAATCTCACCACCATTAATTTTTTGTATTTTCTTTCGTTTTTTTTGGAGACAGGGTCTCACTCTGTTACCCAGGCTGGAGTGCAGTGGTATGATCATGGCTCACTGCAGCACTGACTCTGTGGCTGAGGTGATCCTCCCATCTTAGCCCCCTGAGTAGCTGGGACCACATGCACATGTCAGCACACTCAGCTAGTGTTTTTTTTTGGTGGAGATGGGGTATCACCATGTTGCCCAGGCTCATCTTACACTTTGAGTTCAAGCGATCTGCCTACTCTGCCTCTGAAAGTGCTGGGATTACAGGCAAGAGCCACTGTGCCCAGTGACATTTTCTATCCTTTGAGACACGCTTTTCTGGGCTATAGAAAAACCCCCTAGAAGGGAAAAAGAAGAAAGGGCCAAGCTGGAGATATAAATTTGAGAATGGGTCTATAGATTATTTAAAGCTACAGGAATGAATGAAGTTACTGAAGGAACTTGGAAGGAAATCAGGGCCTAGGTCTAAACACTAAGAAATGCCAATTTCTAGAGGTTAAATAGAGGCAGACAAAGTTAAGTCAGGAAAGGAGATTGAGAAGTAGCCCTAAGTAAGGGAGAAAATTCTGGAAAAGGTGGCACTGTAGCAGCCATATGAAGAAATTTAAAAAGAACTGACTGGACCTGGTGGCATAAATGTTACTTATAAACTTTCCCAGAACAATTCTGATAGAGTGATGGGGCAGAAGGCTAACTGCAGTAGGCTGACCCATAAAATGGAAGATAAAGTTGAGGCTATTTTCAAGCCAGGTTCAAGCTAAACAACTAATGTTTCAAAGATGCAGGGAGAAGGCAAACCAGAGTTTTTTGAAGAGCTAGAAAACTGAGTCTTAAAAACAGAGAAAAAATTATTTAATTAAAAGTGAGGCTTCCAAATTCTGTTTTTTTAGAAACAAGGTCTCTGTTACTCAGGCTAAAGTAGGATGATCATAGCTCACTGTAACCTCAAACTCCTGGGCTCAAGCAATCCTCCTGCCTCAGCCTCCTGAATAGCTAGAACTACAGGTGTGCACCACCACACCTGGCCCATTAAAAATTGTTTTTTGTAGCGTCAGGGTTGTACTATGTTGTTCAGGCTGTTCTCAAACTCCTGGCCTTAGGCCCTTCTGTCTTGGCCTCTGAAAGCACTGAGACTACAAGTCTTAGCCACTGTGTCCAGCCATCTGTCAAATAATTTTTTTCTTTTTTGAGACAGAGTTTTGCTCGTTGCCCAGGCTAGAGAGCGCAATGGCACGATCTCAGCTCACTGCAACCTCTGCCTCCCGGATTCAAGTGATTCTCCTGCCTCAGCCTCCCAAGCAGCTGAGATTATAAGCATGCCTGGCTAATTTTTTTGTATTTTTAGTAGAGATGGGGTTTTACCATGTTGATCAGGCTGGTCTTGAACTTCTGACCTCAGGTGATCCATCCACTTCGGCCTCCCAAAGTATTAGCATTACTGGCATTAGTCACTGTGCCTGGCCTGTCAAATAATTTATATTTTTCAGAGATGTGTTCTCACTCTGATGCCTAGACTGGAGCGCAGAAGTGCAATCATAGCTCACTGCAGCCTCAAACTCCTGGGCTCAAGTGATCCTTCCACCTCAGCCTCCTGAGTAAGTGGGACCACAGTGCGAGCCACCATGCCCAGTTTCTGTCAAATTATTCTATCCCACTTAATTTCACATTAACAGGATGGATAATAATCTGGAGATCTTTGAAAAGTATTACTTTAAAAAATCAGAGTTTTATTAAATGCTATGTCTGATACATATCAGCTTTTCTTCTTTGTAGACATAAGATCTTAGAATATTAGAGATGTACCTATACTTAAATGGGGCATTCCCAGTTTCTGGTCTGGCATGTCTGGAGCTAGGAAGTCATCACTCCATCCTAATAAGTCAAAAGCTGAACAGTGAAAAATCAACAACTCCTCTTAGGTCTCTCACAGAGAAGAGAGGAAACAGGGCAAATTGCTGCCCTCAAAACTGGTAAGACAGATAGGCAGATACAAAGAATTCCAACTTACTGGAGTAGAAATCTTTATGGAAACCAGTACCAAGGTAGGAAAACCTGAACTGTAATTGAGAAATTGCTAGAGGCTAAGGGTAGGCAAGTCTGAGAGTTAAAAACTTCGGGGGACCCAGTCATATTGGGACCCTCATACTCATGTGAGTTTTACCTCTAGGAGCTCTATCAGGTTGATAGTGATGATCAGAGAAAAATCTCTTAATGTGTCCAGCAGTGGGGAGGGGGAAAAGGTAATCATTTTAAAGTATGCCACAGCACTTTGTCATTATTAACAAGGCCTGTCCTTAAGAGAAGTTACTTAACCAAAGCCTAATCTGCTGGGGTTTTATCAGTGCCTAACTGATTTGGAGGAAGGAATATACCCAACTCCAGTCCCTTCTAGCCATTCTGTACAGGAAAGGAGGGGAGACTGAGGAGCATGTGTGAAGTTCAGAGTCTGGGATACAGAACACTTCTGCTCCCTCTGCACCTCACCACCACATCACAATAGCAGTTCCTTTTACCCAGTATATCAAGTCCAACTTTCAACAGAAAAATGACAAGGTATGCTAAAAGGTAAGAAAAACACAGTATTGCCGGGTGCGGTGGCTCAAGCCTGTAATCCCAGCACTTTGGGAGGCCGAGGCGGGTGGATCACAAGGTCAAGAGATCGAGACCATCCTGGTCAACATGGTGAAACCCTGTCTCTACTAAAAATACAAAAAATTAGCTGGGCATGGTGGCACATGCCTATAATTCCAGCTACTCAGGAGGCTGAGACAGCAGAATTGCCTGAACCCAGGAGGCGGAGGTGGTGGTGAGCCGAGATTGCGCCATTGCACTCCAGCCTGGGTAACAAAAGCGAAACTCCGTCTCAAAAAAATAAAATTTAAAAAAAAAAAAAGAAAAGAAAAAAGAAAAACACAGTATGAAGAGACATGTACCAGACCCAGATTGAGATACAGTAGGAATGTTGGAATTATCAGGCTGGGAATTAAAAAAAAACTATGACTAATACACTAAGGGCTCTACCGGAAAGAGCAGATTCTTTCCATTCATCTCATTTCCATGAGAAATGGAAATTCTCAGAAGGAATTTTGAAAAAATGCTAGATATCAAAAACACTGTGAAGTGAATGCCTTAGATGGGCTCATTAGTAGACTGGACTTGGCTGAAGAAAGAATCTCTGAGCTTGAGGATATGACAATAAAAATTTCCACAACAGAAAATCAAAGAAAAAAACCTGAAAATAAAATGAACAAACTATCTAAGAACTGGGGGACAACTACAAAAGATGTAACATATGTATAATGGGAATACCAGCAGGAAAGGAAACAGAGAAAGAAACAGAAGCTCCAAATAAAGACTCTTTAAGTTCCAAACAGGTGCAGCTCTCTTTTTCACTCAGCCCACAGCAACAGGGTAGAGGCTCCACTTCTAGGTGTGGCCAGCTGAGAATACTGGGGGTCCTCCTGCCTCTCTACCTACAGTCCTGCTCATAGGGCAGAGGTGGTCACTCTGCTTAGTGAGAAGTGTGTCACTGTCCCCATCCTCAGGGCAAAAGTTCACGGATTTTTTACCAGGGGGAGAGGCAGTCCATGAGAACAAACTGCTCCAAAGTTCTTCCCTAAGAAACTGACTTTACTTGAAATAGAACGTAGAGAAGTTCAGAATGTAGAGAAGTTCCAGCCTCTTGAAAATAATGGAGATTTTGGTAGTAAGCAATTAACAGGAGGCTGGGAACTCCAGGAGGGCAACAACTAAACTACAGGCCAGCTAATTTGCCAGAGACAACTACAAAGAAAGACAGTAAGAATATCCCTCTTGAAGTCTGAATAAATCTCAAAGACTTGCTGTAAAAACTATCCCTGCAAAAGGACCCAATTTAGTAGGGACAGATTCTGGAGCAATTTATGCCCCAGAGCATTGTCAAAACAAGACAGCAATTAGTGAACAGTCGGTGGAGTCTAATAGTTGGGAGTGATACCAACAGAGGCATGGAAAGAGATAAAGAAAGCCCTGCTAAATCCAATGTCATCCTAGGGTGATTGCAGAGGCCCTGAGGAGCAACAGCAGAGGCTTCATATTGCCAAAAGGTTGGGGTGGAGGAAGAAATAATTTGCTAAAATAGTCTAGCCATGTCAACAAACAAACAAATAAGCTGTGGTGGTAGAGTATCCAGAGTTGCCACAGTATATTACCTAAAATGTCCAGTTTTCAAAAAAGAAATAATGAAAAATGCAAAGAAACAAGATGTGACATACACTTAAAAAAAAAAAAAAAGCAAGCAAAAGAAACTGCCTGTGTTAGGCCTGGATGTTGGCTTTAATAGACAAAAATTCCAAAGCAGCTATTATAAATATGTTTGAAGAATTAAAAGCAGTCACACTTAAATAAGTAACAGAAAGTAAGATGAAAATGTCTTATCAAATAGACAGCATTAATAAAAACATTATACATATCAAAAGGGCCAAATAGAAATTCTGAAGTTATAAAGTACAATAACTGAAATAAAAAATTCGTCAGAGTAGCTCAACGGTAGATCTGAATTAACAAAAGAAAGAATCAGAGAACTTGAAGATAGATCAATGGAAAGTACGCAATACAAAGAACAGAGGGAAAAAAGAATGAAGAAAAATGAACAGAGCCTCAGAAAAATGTGAGACACCATTAAGTGTACCAAGATACATACAGTGAGTGTCAGAAGGAGAAAATTATGAAAAGCAGCAGAAAAAGTATTCAAAGAAATACAGTCAGCCCTCCATATGCAGGAGTTCTACATCTGTCAAATCAACCAATATGATAAAAAAAATTAGGAAAAAACCCCAATAATAAATATAAAATATTAAAATATACTATAACAACTATTTACATAGTATTTATGTTGTATTAGGTATTATAAGCCATCTAGAGATGGTTTAAAGTATATGGGCAGATGTGCAGAGGTGATATGCAAATATGAATATTTACGTAAGGAACTTGATTGTCCATGGATTTTGGTATCCACATGGTGTCCTGGATCCAATCCCATGCAGATACTGAGGGATGATTGTAATGGTTGAAACTTCCCAAATTTGATGAAAAGCATTAATGTACATATTCAAGAAGCCCAAGAAACTCCATAACCCAATTAAAATGAGCAAAGGATCTGAACAGACATTTCATTAAAGAAGATATGGAAACAGCCAATAAACACATCAAGAGATGCTCAACAACATTAATCATCAGAAAAATTATATCAGAGTCACAATCAATACCACATCCACTATCATGGGTGATACCAGAAACAAAAAGATAATAAAACATGTATTAATGAGGATGTGGGGAAATTGGAACTCTTAAACACTGCTGGTGGGAATGTAAAATGATGCAGCCACTTTGGAAAATGGTGTGGCAATTTCTCAAAAGGTCAAACACAGAGTTACCATATGACCCAGCAACTCTACTCCTACATATATAGCCAAGAGAAATGAAAATCTACATGTACACAAAAACTTATAAACAAATGTTCATAGCAGCAGTATTTATAACAGACAAAAAGTAGAAACAACTCAAATGCATATAAACTGACAAATGGAGCAACAAAATGTGGTAAAACCACACAATAGAACATTTTTTTGGATATAAAAAGGAAAGAAATCTAACACATGCCACAATATAGATGAACTTCGAAAACATTATGTGAGTGAAAGAAGCCAGTCATAAAAGGCCACATATTGTATAACTCTCTTTCTGTCAAATTCCCAGAAGAGGCAAATCTATAGGAAGTAGACTAGTACATGCCTAGGTTTGGGGGAAAAGAGGGTTGGTGGGATATGAGGAGTGACTGTTAATGGGTACGGTAATGGGTATGGGTTTTCTTTAGGGGGTGATAATGCTCTAAATTTGATGGTGGTGATATCTACATGACTTGGTGAAGTGTACATTTTAAATTGATAAATTTTATGATATGTAAATTCTATCTCAAAACTCATAAAAAAGATAAGGAACTCAAAGCATTTAAGATACTGTTAAAAAATGTACAAAAATCTATTTTTGAGGAATAGTCAAATGCTTCTCGCTTTACTAAGCAAGAAATCAGGGAAAAGAACATCAGTTTCATTTAATGTTTAATCCTCTTTTTTTTTTTTTGGAGACGGAATTAAGCTCTGTCACCCAGGCTGGAGTGCAGTGGCACAATCATGGCTCACTGCAACCTCTGCCTTCTGGGTTCAAGCGATTCTCCTGCCTCAGCCTCCCAAGTACCTGGGATTACAGGCGCCTGCCACCACGCCTGGCTAATTTTTGTGTTTTTAGTAGAGACAGAGTTTCACCATGTTGGCCAGGCTGGTCTCGATCTCCTGACCTCGTGATCTGCCCACCTCGGCCTCCCAAAGTGCTGGGATTACAGGTGTTAGTCATTGTACCTGGCCTCTTTTTTTTTTTTTTTTTTTTTAATTGTTATTTCCTGATTTTCCATTATTCAAGTGTTACAATGATAAGGAGACAAGGTGGGGGGATTTCCAAAACAAAAGGCTGATTATAAAAATGAATGTAATATGGACCCAGAATATATATATAAAATATATTCTATGACTTCTATGCTGTAGAAAGGTAGCTATCACTAAGTAAATCAGAAGACATGGAATTAGGTTTCAGTCTGCTTTATTAAACTATTCTTTGACACTTTATTTTTTGCTGGGTAAGACTGAAGCTGGGGGCCGGGCATGGTGGCTTATACCTGTAATCCCAGCACTTTGGGAGGCCAAGGTGGACAGATCACTTGAGCCCAGGAGTTTAAGACCAGCCTAGGCAATGCAGTGGAACTCCACCTCTACAAAACAAACACAAAAATTAACTGGATGTGGTGGCATGTGCCTGTGGTCCCAGCTACTTGGGAGACTAAGGTGGAAGGATCACTGAGCCTGGAAGGCAGAGGCTGCAGTGAGACGAGATCGTGCCACTGTCAGCCTGGACGACAGAACAACACCCTGTCTCAAAAAAAAAAAAAAAAAGAGTGAAGCTGGCCTGGAGAAGGATGGTTAGAACAAATTCTTCATGGGTCATCTCTAGGCTTAGGGGAAATGCATGACTACGTTGTGATTTCAAATCCCTAACTCCAATCAGGGCTAGAAAGAGCCGGTCTTCTTTCATTTGTCTTAAATACTGACATTAGGTGTAACAGTTCACTAGACAAGTAAAGGAGGTTTTGTCTCAAAAAAATGTGGAAGTCCTTGTTTAGATAACCATGATTACTTTCAGTGTAACAACCCACGGGCAGAACAGTAAAGTTATAGATGAAACTTTTCTAACAGTACGCTAAACATCTGCAAATATGGGTAACAACCTATTTTTAAAACCAGGTGTTTTGATTTTAGAGGAACAACTAAATATAAATATTGTACTTTTATATTTATGACCTCTTTTTTGCTATTCAAAAACATTAATTATAAACTTACTCTGCCTTTTGTATCTCCAGTTTCTCTTTTTAGCTAACCTCAGATGCTCAATTTAGTAGGAAAACACTCAAATCTGAGACCTTTTAACAAAATACCATTAAGTCTGGAGTAAACATGTAATGTCCTATCCCTAAATGTAACGTATACTTACCAATGGTCAGGAAATCTGACCGATACTGACAAGTCATTCCAAAGCCAAAATCTCGCCAAAAGCCAGAATCCTTTTTGTGAACCTTAAGTTAAAAAAAAAAAAAATCAATTTAATTCCATAAGAAGCAGAATTTTTAATCAATGATGAAACAAATTAAAATATTTTCTAATGTATACTTTTTTTCCTGTCATTTATGTGACTGATTAAGGATTACATGCATTTATGTTATTAAATCCTTACAAAACAAAAATACAACTGAAAGCCCGTACGAGGTGCAAGCTGAGGATACTAATAATCAGTGTGGTGTCTGACTTCAAGGGGCTTACATTCTAGAAGAACAGTTGCATAAACAAACTAACACACATGATCGACTCGACACAGTAGACCTTATCTGGTGCCTACCAAGCATCCATTCCCCTAGCCCTCTTCCTGATTGGTACAGTTTTGTTCTGGTAATTACCTGGCCATGCACAGCCCACATATTTTGGGGAGCTGCTGTCACCAGTAGATTCAGAGTGGGCCATGAGTCTATACTAGTGAGACAGTCTCACCCTACTTACCATAGGAACTGGCTCAGTAATAGGTATTTGAAAAAAATCAAACCAACAAGGTGAACCAGGGAAGTTGTTGGGAACTTTGGAAAACTAAGCTACCTCATTCTTCTAAGAGAGTGCCTGGAAAGATCACTTGGTTGTAGGGCAGGGGTCAGCAAACTATGGCCTCTGGCTAAATCTGGCCTGCTGCCTGCTTTTGTAAATAATTTTAGCGGAACATAGCTGTGTCTACAAATTGTCTATGGGTGCTTCCATGGTGCAGTGGCAGAGTTGAGTAGTTGCAGCAGAACTATATGGCCTACAAAGATTAAAATATACCTTATCTAGCTCTCTAAAGAAAACGTTTGTTGACCCCTCGTGCAGGATGCAGCTATGAAGCTTGGAACTGCCAAAGTCCTTTTCTACCATGAGGAAGACCAGCTTTAATATGAAGCTGTCACCACTGAGGTCTAAGTAGAGAAAGAAATATAAAACCAGGGCTTTGACGACATTGAGTCCTTGGAATCTTCTACTTCCAAGTTGAAGTCTGATAACCCTCTTTTTATTTATACTTTCAACAAGTTTTTAATCTTCTGATTATGGTTCTAGTAACCAGGGCTTAGCAGTGAAGAGAGGTGACAAAGTCTCTGCCATCAAAGAGCCTGTGCTTGGGTGGGAAAAGAGTAAATAAATTAATATACATTTTAGGTGGTGATACATGCTATGAAGACGAGGCAATAGCTATAACTAGGGATGGGAAGCTGCTAGTGTATGCTACTGTGATACGTACAGAAAGCAAAAGAGTGTATGGATGTAGAATATGGAAAAGAGTTATGTCAGAGACTTCACGTAAGTCAGCAAGTGATTGAATGGGCACGAGTGGGGAGTGAAAAAGAAGAATCGACTAAGATGACAGCAGGCTTCCATTCTGAACAGTGGGTCTGTGATGGTGCCATCCCCAAAACGGAGCCCAGGGGAAGGGCCAGCCCAGACAGCAACAACATGGAGTTAGTTCTGACCATAATGAATCTAAATGATCTGTAGGGCACCCCCACAGAAATTCCTACAGACAACATGAACACCAAGGTTTGTAGAGCGGACAAATTTTGAGAAAAGTGGGCACAGTCTGAAATTGTTGCTGTATAGAATGGGAGAATCAACAGGAAAGCACAGAATAAGCCAGGCAGCCCTGAGGGCTCAGCTCAGATTGGAGCTGATGGATGAGGTTGGCATTTTTCTTTTCCATTTTTTTTTTTTTTTTTTTTAGCTGAGGGAGAGAACTTCTTCCCCTTCTAGAATGTAAAGCTCCCTGAGGAGAAGACTTGTGGATTCTGATCACTGCTATATTCCTAGCACCTAGAACAATGGCAGGATTTCAATAATTATGTGTTGAATAATAAATATATAGGCATAATTTTAGTGGCAAAATGAAGACTAGACTCTGTTATTATTTTGATCCACAGTCACCGTTGCCTAGACTAGATGGAGTACACTGGCACGATCTTGGCTCACTGCAACCTCTGTCGTTTGGATTCAAGTGATTCAGGCCTCAGCCTGCTGAGCAGCTGGGATTACAGGTGTGCGCCTCTAATTTTTATATTTACAGTAGAGACAGGGTTTCATCATGTTGGCCAGGCTGGTCTCAAACTCTTGACCTCTGGTAATCCACCCACTTCGGCGTTCCAAAGTGCTGGGATTACAGACGTGAGCCACTGCTCCCATCTCTAACATTTAACAAAGAGATAAGTCTCTTTGTTAAAATATAACACTGATACAAAGTATTAAAAAGCAAAACATCCACTTTGACATCTCTACACCATGCCAATTCTGGTTTTATAAATACTATAACTTTGTGACTTAGTTTCTCTAAAAATTCTTCCAATATTATCAGACTTGGAGAAAGGAATCATTGGTTTTGTTTGATTTTTAAAGCAACGTATTTTCACAGAGGAAAGTAGAAGGAAACTCAAATCGCCCAAAATCCTCATTGTTAATGTTTTCCTGCACTGTTTTATCTGGCCTCCTAAGCATGTAGGAGATGCAGTTATCCACACATAACCTATATCCCTAAGCCTTGGCCTCTCACAGAATGCTGGATCCCTGAAGCCAACTAGCAACTTAACACCTTCCCTTGGATGTCTGATAAACAACACATGCCTACTATGGCTCCAGTTGAACCCTGATTTCTCCTCTCCCATTCCTTTCCTTGCTCATTTCCTACATCTAACCCATCTGCAAGCTCTGTCAGCCCTATCTCTGAATCATATCCAAACCTTTCTCCTAATTATACTACTACTGTCACCCAAGCCACAATCATCTCCCCTTGTCTACTGTGAAAGCCTAACTGGCTGCTGCCAGCCAGAGCTGCACACAATCCATTCTTCCTCCAAAGGCTTTCCAACATGCTAAGCATAAAATCCTAATGCCTTCCAGAGGCTTAACAAGCTCTACATGCCCTGGCCCAGCTATGTGCCCCTCACCTGCTGTGCTCCAAACACCTTAGGAAACCCAGTAGCTGTTCCTTCCGCTAGAAACCACTATCCCCCAATCATGGCCTAGCTGGTTCTTTTCTATTCTTTGGACAGCTCTGCTCAGCCTCATCTCACAAAGGCCTTTCCGACCAAACATGCTACAGAAACCATAAAGTCACTCTTTGCAACTCAGTCTGTTTTAATGATCCACGTGGTATTTGTTATCTGATTTTACTTTCTGCCACTTCCTAATAAAGACCCTCACGCGTAATAGCCGTGTCTGTTAGGGTGTAGGTGTGGGGGTGTCAGTGGTGAATAGTGCCTGGCATCAAGGGGACTCTCGATATTTGATAAATTAATGTAACAGAGGCAGTGTGTGCAGTGGACAGGAGTGAGGCTGTGGAGCTACATCACCAGGGTTCCTGGGCCTACTCAGGCAGGTGTGCACTTGGACAGGCACTCAACTTCAGTACAGCTGTGAAAAAGGGGTAATAGTACCTACCCTGGAGGTTGTTAGGAGATTAAATGAATTAACATGTAGGCAAAACAGTACAAGTACCCTGAACATAGTAAGGGGTTCATAAAAATATTAGCTATTATCATTCAAATGTTACCTAAAATACAGACATGCTATTTCCCACTTTTTAGCTTTACATTTTCCTCTGCATTTACACTGCTGTATTTAAATTTCACATTTTCCTCTTGTTATGCAATATTCACCACAGTATGTACCATAATTCAATTTATCCTTTATTAGTTTTGCTTGCTTTTAATGTTATCAATTTATGCATATTACTATCATGTAGCTGAATTATTTCCCCAGGAGAGACTGCTGGTGGCAATTACTGGGTGGGAGGGATGAACCTGTTTAGAACTTGACCCAGAGAACTGGCCTGCATCCCCAACAGGAGTGATGGAACAGCTCTCATCCCCCAGCTTTGCTTGCATGGCTGTGCTTTTTAAAAGCAGTGATCTAACAGCAGAAACAAAGCATTATACTGCTGTTTTAATTTACTCCCAGTAAGTCTACTTAAATATGCAAATTATTATCAACTGTCTTACCCATTTTATCCTTCCTATTTACTTTTTTTTTTTTTTTGAGACAGAGTCTCTGTCACCAGGCTGGAGTGTAGTGATGCAATCTTGGCTCACTGCAACCTTTGCCTCCTGGGTTCAAGTGATTCTCCTGCTTCAGTCTCTGAGTAGCTGGGACTACAGGTGCCTACCACCATACCCAGCTAACTTTTGTATTTTTGTAGACGTGGGGTTTCACCATGTTGGCCAGGATGGTCTCGATCTCCTGACCTCATGATCCACCTGCCTCGGCCTCCCGAAGTGCTGGAATTACAGGCATGAGCCACTGCGGCCGGCCCTATTTACTTTTAATACAGCTTTAAACATTAAGGAAAACAAGTTTTTGTCTTTTAAGTAAGGAAACTGAAGCTTAGAAAACGTAAAACAACTTGCAAAGGTTACAAGTGATGAAACAAGAACTTGAAGTGCTTAAACTTAAGTTGCTATGCAACACCTAGAATGAATAAGCATTCAAATAATTCTTCCCCTACAACCCTCCAAACCAGGCAAGAATATTAGCATGCTTTTACATTCCTTTCACATTTATATGTTGACTTTATTTGCCTCTTCTTTTTGTTTGTTTTCAATTAATTTTAATATATAACCTTCTGTTTTGGAATAATTTTAGACTTACAGAGAAGTTGCAAAACAGTAAACAGAGTTCTCATATACCCCTCATCCAGTTTTAGCTTCCCCTAGTGTTACCATCTTACATTGTTGTGGTACATTTGTCAAAACTAAGGAACCGTCATTGCTATGTTACTATTTAACTCAACTCCAGACTTTATTTGGATTTCATGAGCTTTCCCTTTCCTGTCCCTTTTACTATACCAGGGCCTAGTACAGGGCACCACATTGCATTTGGTTGTCATGTCTCCTTAGTCTCCTCTTCCTTATGATGGTTTCTCAGTCTTCCTTGTTTCTGATGACCTTGACAGTTCTGAGGAACAATGCTCAGATATTTAGTACAATGCTCCTCAATGTGGGTTTGCTGTAGCTTTCCCTGTGACTGGACTGGGGTTCTAGGTTTTTGGAAGGTGACTATAGAACTGAAGTGCCCTTCTCATTCATTACATCACGTCAGGGGTACATGGTACCACTTGGTTAAGATGTCTGCTGGGTTTCTCCTCTGAAAAGTTTGTTTTTTCTTTCCATACTCTATTCTTTGAAAGTGAGTCCCCTAGTTCCACCTGCTGGAAGAAGGAGTATCTACATAAGTTATTTGGAATTCTGTAAGGAGGATTTATCTTTTCTTTCTTAACTAGTCTAGTCTAGCCACTTATTATTTATCTGCTCATTCACTCATTTCTATCAGTATAGACTCATGGCTATTTATTTGATGCTTTGGATTATAATCCAGATTTAAGTTATTTATTTCATTGCTCAGGTGGTTCCAGCTTGGGCACTGGGAGCTCTTTCTGTTGGTTCCTGTGCCCCTTTGATACATGCTCCCTATCTTTTTGTTGAGTGTGTTCTTTTTTTTTTTTTTTTTGAGATGGAGTTTCGCTCTTGTTACCCAGGCTGGAGTGCAATGGCACGATCTCGGCTCACCGCAACCTCCGCCTCCTGGGTTCAGGCAATTCTCCTGCCTCAGCCTCCTGAGTAGCTGGGATTACAGGCACGCACCACCATGCCCAGCTAATTTTTTGTATTTTTAGTAGAGACGGGGTTTCACCATGTTGACCAGGATGGTCTCGATCTCCTGACCTCGTGATCCACCCGCCTCGGCCTCTCAAAGTGCTGGGATTACAGGCGTGAGCCACCTCGCCTGGCCTGTTGAGTGCGTTCTTACATTCTGGCGCTGTAAGATGCTCCAGGGTCTTCCTGTATATTTCTTGCCCCAGCCCTGGAATTAACCATTTTTCCATAGACCTCTGGCTCCTTTGATTGGAGAACAGTATTAGAAACCAAGATTTGGAAGCTGAGTGTGCTTGTTACTATTAGGGTGTCAGTGCCACTGGTTCTAGGCCTTCTCATCTGAGAGCTAGTTAATATACATATGCATATACCCTTTGATGCCTTAATCCCAAATTGCTATTGCCTTTTTATTATGTCAACATATCTATTTATACTATTACATCAACAAATGTTTAGATTTGATTATTTTTGTTGTTCACCACTATTTGTTCTCAGGTCCTCCTCTCTCAATGTATACATTTATTATTTTGCAGGACTAGATTAAAAAGGTCTGTGAGAAATAAATTCTGAGTCCTTGAAAGCTCATAAATGTGTTTTATTCTAAAATAGTAGGTCAAATATGAATTCTAGAATCAAAGTTACTTTTCTTCAGATTTTCATAGTATTGCTTTATTGTTTTCTAGAACTTGTGTTGTCAAAAAGAAGGCAAATGCCAATCTGATTGTTATTCCTTTGTTTGTTATTCCTTTGTGAACAAGCTGGGTTTTCCTATTTTTAGTGTCTCTGGAAGCTATTAGCATTGTCCCTTCACTGCTGTTCTCTAAACACCAGAAGGTTTGTTTCTGCTTAGCTCTGCAAAGTTTGCTTCCATTTCCTCCACTCAATATTCTCTCTTTTCTGAACTCCTATTAACAATTTGGGAGCTTCCGGCTTGATTCTCCTTGTCTCAATTTTTCTCTCATGTTACCTTGTAAACTTTATGTGTCCAACTGGCTTGTCTTCCAGTTTACAAATTTGTTTCAACTGTAACCATTCTTCTATTCAGACCATTTACTGATTTTAAAATATTTTCACAATTTCTAAGTTCTGACTTTTTAAAGCAACAAATCCTGTTTTATGAATTTGACATTTTCTCTAATCTCCCTAAAGATATATTTTAAAGTTATTTTCTATCTGTATTCATATACTCATGCGTTAATTTTTCTATGTATTAATACTTGGTGCCTCTTTTATAGTATTGGTTTTCCTCAAATGTTTGGTTAGTCTTGGTTAATTGCTACTCATTTCTGTTTCAAGTATCATTGTTCAGAAGTCCATGGAAGATTACAATGGCCTTCTCCAGTCATAGTCAAGGAGGGCAGGACAGGGTCTCAGGTGATGTGCCAACAGTAGCTCACTTTCGTAGTCTAGGGGCTCCTTAGCCACCTCAACCACCCTCTCCAGCTCCAGGAACCACATGCACTGCTTTAGACTGAGGGTCAGTTCCTGTGATGCCTGCTTCTCAGCATACCTAGAGAAGCATGTTTACTCCAGGCTCCCTCCATTCTGTCTGCTATGAGCTCAGAGATGTAAAGCAGCCCTATCTTTACTAACTAGAACACGTTCTAGCCTGTTTTCTCCTCCAGCAATCTTAACTGCTGTTATCTTACAGAAAGTTCTCAAAACTCATGGCTGCTAACACCTTCTCTCACTTTCCAGTACTACTGTATCCTTTCCTTTTGAATAATTCACTGTCAGATATGGCAGATGTGGGTGCTTGGTTTGCCATTGTGTACCTATTTGTATCTATATTCATAATACTGGCCTACGATAAGGTAGAGAGATGTGTGTGTGTGTGTGTGTGTGTACACTATGCCAAGTGTGGTATCAAGATAATGGTGACCTCATAAAATATGTTAAGTACATCATATGGTGCTAATGTTATTTGTTCTTTGAGAGTATGAAAAAGCTCATAAATTAAAACATTATATTTATGTACCTACAGGGTAACTTTTTGGTAACTGTTTTTAAAATGGCTCTTAATTTCTTCAGAGTTTTCACCTCTTATTCACAAAATACCAACATGAACTTAGCCTGTGTTCATATTTTATAAATTCTCAAATCTTTCATTTTATTTAGATTTTAAAAACTTACCCTATAAAATTCATTTATCTCAATGTTTTTATATTCTAATTTCCAGTGTTATGTTTTCCTTTTTACCTGAAATCTGTCTACTTTATGATAAATTTTTTTTGTACTTAAATAAAAAGCAATCTATTTTTGTTTTACTAACTTCAGCCTTTATCTTTATTTCTTTCCTCTTGCTTTCCTTGAAGTTATTTTTTATTTTTTTTAAACATCTTAAAATGACTTCTTAATCATTTCCACTTTTTCTTTGTATTAACAATAAAAAATTATGTTAAATGCAATTTGGTATTCTGGGCTCGATTCTGGAACAGAAAAAGGACATTAGTAGATAAACTAGTATAATCCTAGTAAATCTGTAGTGTACTTAGCAGTAACTTAGCAGTATTAATTTCTTCACTTTGACAAATGTACCATGGTTACCTAAGACGTTAGCATTAGAGGAAACCAGGTGAAGTATGGAACTCTCTTTACTACCTTTGCAACTTCTCTAAATCTAAATTATTACAAAATAGTAAGTTGATTTAAAAATTTTAAAAAGCTTACATAAGATTAGCTTTGGCAATAACTGTAAGCTTTGATATATGGCATTTATATTCCATGACTTTCCAAGTAATTTACCATAGTATACTATTCCCTTTTATTTAGCAAAATACATTTAATTTCTAGTTAGTAGGATTTTTAAAATTAAATTTTTAGTATTAGTAAAAATAAGCTGGCAGAAATGACTATACAATTTCCACATTTTGGGACATGAGGTTTTTCTTTATGACCTAAACTCTGCTTCCCCTACACTTAATTCTGAAGCAATAAATGTGAAAGCATTTTATTGGAGGTATAAAAAGAACTATGGAAATGTGTTTACAATAACTACAGTTTTTCTTTAACACTTTGCTCATGGGAATACAATTTTTTACTGAAACTTTGTTTTCTATTTATACAACAAACATCTAGAAAAGATCTTTAGAGTCTTTCATAAGTGAAAATGTAAAAGTCTCACCAGCTGTTGCTCCACAGGTGGTGGCACTTCCTGGTTGGCATAAACAATGGCAGGATTGTAAAGACTGAACACCACAGGGTAAAATACCTTCTTACCTACAAATTAAAATACAGGTTTGTAACATACAAAGAAGTTATAAAGAACTGTTCTTTATTGTAATATCTATTAAGTTTTATCAAAGCCTTTGTTATCATAGAAGATGATTTTCTTTTATCAATATTATATATTTTTAAATATTTAGGTTATAGAACATCATGTTAATTTGATGAATATGATATGATTTTGTAATGTATCAGTAGGTTAACTATAACCTTGCAAAAGAACAGAGGAAAAAATAAACTAAAAGGTGCTTCATATTTATTCCCTTTGACTTTGGGGAGATATGTATTCATTATATGAGTCATTTATTACTCATTTCATCTAATCAGCAATAATAAATGTAGATTAACCTCTGATAATCACCACGAAACTTAGAAACGTTTGTTAGATCCACCCTTCAAAACTGAATCACTAAAAAGAGTAAATTCAAAGAATACTGTACAATGAATAGACATGCAGAGAATAATTAAAACAGAGAATAAATCTGAACCCAAATCTGGAAAAGTGGGGAAAATAAGGGTTAAAAATACCTGATATAGTAGCCCTTGCAGAAGATCTTGTCATCAGCACTCAAACTGACTGATCTAAAAGGACTGTAAAGGCTAACTAGCCCAACTTCCCTCAGTAGAGAAACTCTTGCTTATGGCTGGCTTCAATCATATATGATCACATGAAGTGTTCAGTGATTGTCAGGAAGCGTGGCAGTAACATGGCAACCTTTTTATTACAAGATCCCTATCAGATGCTCATTCTACCTTTGTTCAAATCCATTTAGGGATGGGGAGCTCAATTTTCCAGAGGCAAATCTATTTCTGGATATAAAATACTTCTTTTAAACTAATTAAGTATGTCTCCTTCAATTTTCACATTTTGCATTTCATGCTGTAAAATAAACGTAACCTTCAGTTACTCATTAGGTTCTCAGAGAGTTCCTGACAACCATCCCTAACCTGATTAATAAGAAGGCAATCATTTGCATATGAATAGTTATACAAAGAAAACCATTTGCTATGGGATTCTTTAAAAAATTTTTATTTTTAAAGATGAGGTCTCACTATGTTGCTCAGGCTGGTCTTGAACTCCTGGGCTCAAGTGATCCTCCTGTTTCAGCCTCCCAAGGTGTTCGGATTAAGATGTGAGCCACTGTGCTCAGCATCCCCCAGTTTTTTTAATTGACTAATAAAAGCGGTGTACAACACGATGTTTTGCTACATTCATATATTGTGAAATGATTAAATCAAGCTAATAAACCATATCCATCACCTCACATACCTAACATTTTTTTTGGTAGTAAGAAAACTTAAAATCTACTGGCTTAGCAATTTGCAAGTATACAATATATTGTTAGTAACTACAATTACCATGTTGTGTAATAGATTTCCTGAACTCACTCCCCGTTGAGATTCTTTAATGCAGGAAACTTTTTTTTTTTTTTCATTTCAAATAAATTAAAAATCATTTAAAATTTGATTAGTAAAAATGTAATTTTCTCATTAATTTTAAAAAAATATCTACAATCTAAAGCAGAGGATAGTAAATCACCCCAAAATGCACAGTCTGGAGACCAAGCACTATCCACATCTAGACCTCCATGTGAGTGTGTGTGTGCATGCATGCATGCATGTGGGCATGTTTGCATGTGTGGACACTATATGCCCAAAGCTAAGTGCTTCCGACTCTCACACATCTCCATACCATCCACTTAGCTCTTTTTCTGACCTGTACTGCTTCTGCCTCATCAATTTCTAGATATCCTGTTCCTCTATACTTCTTTATTTGGCTTCAAATGTAGTCATTGGAAGTTGGCTCCAAGAGAGCAAAGGATATGCATTTCAGAGAGTCAAATTTTTAATTTCCTACGTAGTATTCCAGTTAAAATATGCTTAATATAACTTAAAAAAATACCAGAGTTTAACTAAAATTTCTTTTCCCTCAAAATAACTTGATTCAAACTATAGGACATGTGATACTGTTCTAAATTCTATACTCAGCTCATCTACCAACATTTTACGCACCTGGCTCAGCATTTAACCGGCAGCTGTTAAGGAATTCGGCTGAGAAATAGATATCAACATCACAGAAAAACATCAAGACCTCTCCCTTGTCCCAAGCTCGGGCACCCACATTTAGTCCTCGTCCACGATTAAATTCTTCATTCAATGAGACCAAGGTGTAATTGTGAAAATCAGACTCACTATGAGGAAAGCATACAACAAACGATAAGTCCCACTTAATGTTAACAACTTTCTTCCTTTAACACAGCTTACAAAATACGTTTAACACTTCAAATATTTGATTATGTTCGTTCTACATTCACATGGGAAAAGAAAATCCCAGCTTCATGTGTATGATCATCATCAGGGAGAGATATTCACCCAATGCCCACATTTGAGGCACACGTTGGTAGTATGAGGCTCCAAAGTGTTTAAGTGACCACTGCCCTTTGGAATCGTAAACACCTTTTGGGGAGATGAGAAATACACACATGAAAAAATACTGTAATGTCTGGTAATAAATAATGCATTCTAAATGGGTGACACACACAAAGATCACTCTCCTCTTGCATCCACTGGATCTTTGCACACGTCCCCTTATCAGAGGGATCTTCTCTAACACTACGTGAAAAGCAGCTCTGGCCTCCCTCTCTTTCATCTCTATCCTATTCCTCAAGTGTTTTTCTTGGTACTGCCAGACATTTTTGTTCCAGTGTCTCTCCTACTCTGTGGGAGCAGGGATTTTGTTTTGTTCATTATTATGGACACAGTGCCTCCTCACAGAGTAGGATTTCAATAAATATTTGCTGAATGAATGATGAAGAGCAGTTCTGAGAAAATACATCACTCATATCTGCAGTAGTTACAGAAGATGTTAGAAGTGGAATGTGAGTTATACTTTGGTTAAAATGTTGAATTCAGTGGTAAGTGTAAAGGTCATTCCAAGTAATTATTCTCAAAGGCAAAGAGGTAAGAGCGTAGAAAGCATTTTAGAGAAAAGGGATCAGACAAATCAGATTGGAACAAAAGGACCTTAAAATGGGAAAAGTGAAATAAGGGTCAAAGGATCTTAAAATGGGAACAATGAGAGAAAGGTCAGACTGAAGAGTACCTCCCATGCAAGGTTAAAGAAACTGGTCAGTATCCTAAAGACAAAGAGAATCAGCAGGGTTTTTCTGCCAGAGCAGTGGTTCTCACAGTGAGGCCCTCAAACCTATAGCATCAGCCTCCTGTGGCAACGTGTTAGAGAGGCAAACTCTCAGACTACACCCAGACCCACTGAATCAGATGCTAGGGCTGGAGCCGAGCCTCTACATTTTCACAAGTCTTCCCAGTGACTCTGGCACTGAAGTTGGAGAACCACTCACTGCACTAGGGTGCAGCCTGATCAAAAAAGTAATATTTTAGGATTACCCTTACAACAGTATAGAATGGGTAATGAAGAGATGGAACAAAGTCTCAAATAGTGCATGGAGTGACCTCCAAGTGCTTTAAGTGCCTAAGATTCTTCTTCTCACCTTAAGGAATATAAATCTCTCCGTTTTTTGGGGGAGAACTGCCCACTGCCACCCCACATACTCAGCACCAAGTGGAGGCACTGAGCACAGAATACCCCTCACTCTCTGCCCACCCCAACCACAGTAATGTCCTAGGGATGGAGACCAGGCTTAAGCTGGGCCAATCCCAATACCCCCACCCCACCTGGCCATAGTGATTGGCTCAAGAGTGGGCAAAATGTCCTTCCCTGGGGTTTTCTCAACTGGAGCTGGGAGAAAGCTCTTTCCTCTCTGATGGCAAAGCTGAGAAGATGTGAGCCCAGAGCCGCCAACAGTCATATCCCTCACCATGTGGAAGAAGCCAATCTGCAACAGGAGAATGGAGTCAGCATGCAAAGAAAAACAGACAAGGAGATGACAAGAGAATTTTGATGATATTCAAGTCTCTGGTTCCAATCCCTGAGAAACCAGAGTTGTTTTGATTTTCTTCCCCAAATCTGGTTGGAACAATCCCTTTATTTCTGGGAGGTATCCAAGATTCTTCAATACTGCTCCTATTTTCCTTAAACAAGCTCAAGGTAGGTTTACACCATTTGCCACAGAGGTGTCTTGACAATACCTCAACATTACCAGTGTGAGCTTGTGGCACTTAATAGGTGATTTAAAAACACTAAGGAGGGAAAGGAAGGGAAGAAATGGAGGGAGACGGAACCAGGGTTAGGGTGGTGGCAGTAGCAAGGAAGAGACAGGAGGTCCTGTGAAGTAAGTAGGAACTAATTAATTAGAGGTAACTGGAGGCAAAGAATAAGTAAAAGACTGTGGCTCTCAAAAGTCATGCCAAGGCGATGGTGAAATAGTTTTACTCTGAACTGAGAGAGGGCCATCAGGAGGAGGAGCTCATGTAGGGAAGGGGAAGGCAGTGAGTCTTGTCTATATACATCAAGGATCTGAGATTCCCTGCAGGCCAGAGACTCAGATTAACTCATCTATGCCCACTCTTCTTCCAATTATCCCAGTCAGACTCCCAAGCAGTGTACCTGGAACACAGTAGGTAGGACTCAATGAATGTTAGTTCAATGATTGGAGAAGAATGGCTGATCAAATCTAGGCTCTTAACAAATGGCCACAACTGGCAGAAAGGTAAAGAGGCAAGTAAAGGATACAGAACTGGTGTGGTTAGAGACAATAATCAACCTAACAGTTTACATTATATCCTACTTACATTTACAAAATAGTTACATTTTACAAACGTAAGAAGAACATTTTAAAAACAGAAGTAATGGTTAGGTTGTCAAAGGTAAAAAAGCAACGAAAAAGGATAACAGAAAAGAATTTGGCAGTTAGGTCATATCTTTGGGCCCATGATTTAGAAAGAAAAAGGCTGAGAAGCAAAAGAATTAATAATTAAGTACTAAGGGATTACTAATTCATCCATTCAAACCTCTGAGCATCTACTATGTGCCAGGTACTCTATGACTTGCTTAGTTATGAACTGTTATCCTGTGACGTTGAGCTATGAAAGGACAGAAACATAATGGTAGTGGCTGGGCACTTCAGAGTTGGGTAGGAGTTTCTTAAAGATATGGGAGACCTTGGCATTGTTAGCAGGGGGAAAAGAAGGAACCTGAGGAAATGGAAGGAAAGAAAGGTGACAAAAAGAGACAAATTCAGAACATGATTATGTCAAAGTGAAGGAATTAGATTTTAAAAAAGGGAAGCAGCAGCAAATACACAGAGGGTGAGTGGGCCACAAAGAAAGCATCCTGATCATGCCAGACTCCCTGCTAAGCAGAAAGGGAAGTTGAGTCACATGGGGTTGCATGTGAAATGAGGAACTATCACCACTCCCATTGCCCACATGGTCAGCCAACTTTTAAACAATAGTTACTACAAATTATTAACTCATTACATATCTGAAAATTCTCACTCTTTTAGCAATGTTATATATCAAGGACTTGACTGTGGATGTGGTTCACCAACCTTGTGACAGATTCTAGGATAGACTTGACTTTAGACAGTCCTTCTTTACCAAAATACACCACTGTGAGATGAATCTTCTTGTCTTGATGAATACAAACATCCCTAACGGAAGTGAAAAATAAAGTTTACTCAAGAAAACATGAGGCACGACTCATTCAGAAAGCAATCACATGAAGCTTTAACAGGAAAATGAGGCATTACTGACACAATAGTAAACATAAAAGTGGCAATACTGATGAATCATGGAAGGCACAAGGTCTATGCCTGAATGAGTGCAGCCCTTGGAGGGCCGTCGAAGCAGTCTGACATTGTTGGCATATTTCAAAACATTTTTTCGAACTTTTGCTTTCGGATTGCTTTCAGAAGCAAATCACAAGCTATTCGAGGAAATAAACTCAATTGGTTCAGAACCAAATAAATAAATACTGACCTTTTGAATTAAGAGTTGTCTTCAGACTGGCTAATTCCAAAAGTTATACCTATCATTAAGGATTAAATATTTGCCATGACTGAGATTACTTACTGTAAAGAATAATGTGGCCTTTGGAAGTAATTCCAAAAAAAGCAATAAAAAAATGCTTTAGGAAATCAGATCTCAAGTGAGCTATTTGGAACAGGAAATCTCATTTGGAAGTATGACTGCCAGACATTCAGCTGCAGGACAGTTTTAACTAACCTTTGAAATCCAATAATTCTAATATGAGAGTAAAGACTAGGATCATGAAGCACTAAAACGAATATATCACAGTATTTAAAACATTTAAAATTATTGAAGTATTAAAAACATGGGAATTCTTAAATCAAAAAGCAGTATTTTCCACAAATAGTTATCCTAATGTGTAGATACGTAACACTTCAGCATTTGAAAATATCCAAATTTAATAAAATAAAAAAAACTTTACAAATTCTTTGCTTCCCAGGATGAAATAACTTTTCTCCAATTTTTAGTTTAATGTTTGTATTTCTAAATGTATTTTGATTAAAAACCTTAAATCATTCTCGGGGATTTTCTTGGGAGACAGAGTATTCTGTATCTTGATTGGGGTGGTGGTTCATGAGTATATACATTTATCAAATGACATGAAATTCTGGCCTGGACAACATGGCAAGACCCTACTCTCTACAAAAAATAAAAAAGATGGCAAGCACCTGTGGTCCCAGCTACTTGGGAGGCTGAGGAGGGAGGATCACTTGAGCCCAGGAGGCTGAGCTGCAGTGAGCCGTGCTCATGCCACTGCACTCTAGCCTGGGCGACAGAGTGAGACCGTGTCTCAAAAAAAAAAAAAAAAAGGTCACGAAACCTATATCCTTAAAATATGTGGATTTTACTGCATGTAAATTATACCTTCATAAAGTTGATTTTTAAAAATTCAACTTGTCTTAAAATGAATTAAAAAACAATTATCAAGGCCATCAAATTTGATTTCTAATAGATGTCACTCTCAATTTATTTCATAGTTCAAACTGTCAATAATACAATATCCTACACATGCTTTAAAAAAAAGAGAGAATATAAAAAATAAAGCTCCTCCAAAGACTATAAAATTATTCTAAGTAATTATACTCAGTGAAGATAAACTGAGAAAATCTGAATAAAATGTGATTTTTTGAGAACGTAGCTGAATCATTAAGTCCTGACAGTTACCTGAAGTTCTGCATAAACTGTATAAATGCTTCAGTTCTTTCAGCAAGTGGCACAATTATATTAATAATAGATCTAGTGATGTCAATCATCTCGCTCTTCACTTTCATGAGAGGTCCAAAAGGGCGGAAGAGGGTCACATGTCTATATTCCATAAGGTCTGCTTTCTTAAAAAATAGTTCATACTGCGTGCCCTTATCTCTCTCAGTGCGATAATAACCTAAAGGAAAGAGTTAGGAACAAAGACACCTCTATGTCAAAGTTTACAAATTCAATGGGAAGACAGATTTTACTCACTTAAACATCAAGGGCATTAAAGCAGACCTGCAGGATTTTTACCTATTTGCAAAAATACTTATTCCCACTGCACGGTCAGTAACAATTACTCCTTTAAAAGAAAACATTAAAAAAATGTTCACTGTTCTGTTATTTATTTATTTATTTATTTATTTATTAAAGACAGGGTTTCATCATGTTGGCCAAGCTGGTCTTGAACTCCTGACCTCAGGTGATCCGCCCGCCTTGGCCTCCCAAAGTGCTGAGATTACAGGCGTGAGCCACCATGCCCGGCCACTGTTCTATTATTTTATTCAATCTATAAAATATACTCCAAATGACAATTATTCCTTTTTACATAAGACTTTTAAAAAATACTAGAGCCATCAATATGATAACCATGGTAAATAAATAAATTACTTCTAGCAATATTAAAATCTAGACCCAAGAGCCACAATTGCTATTGGTTTAGGTAAACTAAAATAAATCAATGCCTTCATGTTAGTTATGTAATATAAAGAGTGCCACGTGGTCTCAATTTTGAGAAAGAGCCAGTCTTTGAAGGAGATAGAAAAACAGACAAATAATAACAATATAGTGCTATATGATATATGTATCTATATATATGTGATTATACATATATATATATATATATATATATGTATAATCACTGATAAGAGTGAAGTCAAAGAAAAATTGGTACAGATTTAAACTCAGTGATTTGAGATGCCTTTGAGAGAAAGGCATGAACATCTATGAGGCAACCTGATTTTTAATTGTGATGCTCAGGAGAGAGAAGGTTAGATCTACAGATGTGTGGGTCACTCAGTGAATATCTGGGTATAAAATGGTGAATAAAATAGATTTGGTTCCAACCTTCCTGAGGTTCACACTTTAGTAGGAAGCACAAATCAGGAAATAAGCAATGCCATATGCTGTGAAAAGCGGTATGAATGTACAGGTGACAAGAGCACACAGAATTACTGCTATCTTAGACCTGAGGTTGCAGATGACGTGTCAGAAGAAGTGATGTCTGAATTAAAGTCTAGAAAAGGAATAGGAATTAGTTTTCATTATTAATTACTAGTAATTATCCTCCCTGCAGTGGGCAGGCATGGCACAGCAGAGGAAAAGTGAGAAACTTTTCTCATGTAGAGAAAAATCCTGAAGTAACAGAATCCAAGAAGACTTATAAGACAAAAGCAGGAGGTGCAGAATATAAAACCGGCATAGCTCCCTTTCTTTTTGGGGAGAGCTGATGTGAGGACATTTTATGCATGTTACTTAGTTATCTTATTTCCTCTGCGGCTTCCCATTCTGCCATAAGCTACAAACATACATTGAGAAGACAAAATGCTGAGCTTACAGAAAAATTAGAAGAGTTTTGAGCAAAACAATCCATCAAATGGCCGAAAATGGTAGCAGAAAAAAGAGGAGACCACAGGGAAAGGTAGTTGCAATGCCACAGCAAAGCATAATGCCCTCCCTTACGGCCTCCAAAGGCCTCAGGATATTATATTAATACTACTGTGCAGCAAGTGATGGCCATGATGATTCAGAGTCAAAAACTCTACATGTGATATATCAGGGGTCCCTAACCCCGGGCCACAGACTGCTACTGGTACGTGGCCTGTTGGGAACCAGAAGGCACACCAGGACGTGAGTGGCTGGAGCCTGGCAAGCATTATCACTTCAGCTCCGCCTCCTGTCAGATCAGCAGCTGCACTGGATTGTCACAGGAGTGTAAACCCTGTCGTGAATTGTGCAAGCAAAGGATCTATGCTGTACGCTCTTTATGAGAATCTAACTAATGCCTCATGATCTGAAGTGAAACAGTTTCATCCCAAAACCATCCTCACCATCCTATGGAAAAATTATCGCTCATGAAACCAGTCCCTGGTGCCAAAAAGGCTGGGGACCACTGTGATACACAGTTTATAAAATCAAGCAAAGAGAACTTTCAATAAACATTTATTTTCAAAATGGTTTAAGTCAGCAATTAAATGTCTAGCAGGGAGTGTAAAGGAGATGGGTAGGGATCTAGAATAATTACTGTTAATATAAATCAACAAGTATCCTAAATTTTATAGCAGTGTTCTTCAATGTGAGTCATATCCCATCTTGATACATAAAAATTCCATACTCTTTCTGAAATATGTATTAGGAAATAGGTATTTCTTTACTTTTCCAAATACCAAGTACGCTTTTAAAACCACGTATGACCCCTTCTTCAGATATGTGCTTCTCCCTCCTCCAATATGGAAAATAGCTACCAGTCTACTAGTTTTTTATTTCCTTTATCAAATGGTTTTCAAGTTTTGAATCTTAGTTTACACATTTTTAAAAACATAAAAAAGGACATGAAGATCAGATAAGTGAGGAATACAAATCATACACATGCAACAAGAGCTGTTTTATTCTATTTCCCTAGTCCTTATTCTCCATTTTGATTATGATCTCATTACACCTTTTTTCAGAAAGCCACTTAAAATTCTTGGTGGAATGAAGTGGGAAAAACTTATGTGTTTTAATACTGTGGATAATGACTGACTTATATTACCAGCATACAATACTAGTATTTGTCTTACTAACGTAATATGGACCAATATATGTTTCACATTACCTTCTATGAAGTCATTTTCATTAAATATCAGTTTCTCTCCAAGGGGACCCTCCTCATCTTCTTGCTCATCATCTTCATCAGGATTATTAATGACCTCCAAGCCAGCTTCAATAACTTCCACCAATTCATCTCGTTTGTCTTTTCTAACTGGCTTTTCTTCAGGATGGCGAGTAAGACCCATTTCCAATTGAAATACTTTCATTAAGGTAAAACTTTCAAAGGGAATGACCCCATACTCACTGGGTAGTTTGGCCCCTATGCTAACTTCAGCTTTGTCAATTTGGGAATGAAGAAACTCTAAAAGATCACTAGGTGCTTGCTCTTTGTTGCCTTGATAGCCTATGCCATTAGCCCCTATATTCTTTCTTTCTTGCAATGACCTCATCTTCTCACTCATTTCTTGTAATTCTTGTTTTAGTTGGGCAATTTGGCGTTTCAGACTGGTTGCCCTGGTCTGATAATGTTCTTCTTGTTCCTGTAGGAGGGCTTGATAATACTCTTTACCATAATTTTCCCCAACACCAGGAAGAGATGCATTTCCATCAGTTTGGGGGGCACATTCCAGAAGGTACATAAATAATACCAAACTGCAGAGCAAAGCGAGGCCCAACAGCAGCCAGTGGGTCCGGGTGTGAAGAATCAATCCTCTTCTAGGCATTCTTATTAACATGTATTTGCCTAACAAAATAAGCTCTTTGTGTGTTCATACCTTTAGTAAAAAGTTATCAAAAATTAAAAACAAAATCAGAATTTCCATAAAAGGTACCCAAATAATTCTGCTGTAGCTTTAAGTTTTTCTTTCTTCAGCAATCATGACTACTTGCAGAAATGAGAAACTGTGTATACTTTCTGTATTGTACCAATGATATCCAGAATAAAGCAATCTGATATATAAAATCCACATTATATTGGTAGTGATTTTTCTGAAAGACACAGATCAGAATCAATCAAAATTTTGTTTCCTTAAGAATATCAAATTTGTTTGTAGCTTCAGTAAACTTAGCTATGTGATTACTACATGTAGAGAAATATGAGAGATACTAATATAATATTCAATAAATACTGGGAGAATTTCTTTCTCTCTCTTTTTTTTTTTTTTTTTTTTTTTTTTTTTTTTTTTTTTGAGACAGAGTCTCACTCTATCACCCAGGCTGGAGTGCAGTAGCACAACCTTGGCTTACTGTAACCTCTGCCCCCTGGGTTTATGTGATCCTTCCATCTCAGCCCACTGAGTAGCTGGGACTATGGGCACCTGCCCATCATGCTCAGCTAATTTTTGTATTTTTAGTACAGATGAGGTTTCACCACGTTAGCCAGGCTGGTCCTGACCTCAGGTGATCTGCCCACCTTGGCCTCCCAAAGTGCTGGCATTACAGGCATAAGCCACTAAGGCCTGGCCTGGGAGAATTTTTAAAAATACCTTACAAAACAATAAATTATGTATATTATTTTTAACTAGTATGTCTACATGGCTATAAGCTGAATCAAAGAAACATTAAAATTATGTTCAGCATAGTCTGTATTACATATATTCTACTGTTTTCTAATTATTTGAAAATCATATTGCTTATAACTCTTAATTAACATAATATTTCAATTACAACACCATTTCCCAACTAAAGCTTATGACCATTTGGGAACTGAGTATCTAGAAACTGTTTCTGTTATAGTAATAATGGTTTACTGGGAAGAGATATTTTCTTCCAGTTTATTCATTGCAAGCATTCTACCTCATTAATTTCTACTGCTCAACCTAGCCAATCTAGGAGCCTTAAAATTAAGTGGGAGAAAGAACAATTTCAAAAGGTCAGAGACATCTGGAAAACATATTAAGAAAACATATTTATATCCAGTCTTCCAGCAGATTATTTGCACATTAGATCACATAATTCTTTCCACTGTATTACACATCAACAGATTTCCTACAAGTCTAAAAAGGTTTGGAGTCTATATAAAGAAAAAACACGAACAGTTTAATCATGTTTATCGGCAGAGAAAAAAATAAAAAACATTTATAAATTTACAAAATTACATGCTATTATTCATGCTACAACCAGTTGTGTGAACTCTTCCATGTATTTAAACTAATGATTCTTAACTCTAAAAATAGAGGTTTAACTTAGGACAAGGGAGGCAAGGAGACCTCCACTGCAAAAAGAACTTCCATTGTAACAAAGTTCTTGTTGAGAAGGATAATGTGATATGACAGCATGCTTTTAACAGTAATGGTTTTCTCAGTGCAGCAAAACCTGGAAGATCATTACAGTATATCAGTCCTAGTCACTTTCTTAATGAGCAGGAAACCCTGGGTGCTTTCTGTGGCAAATGCCGCAATGCACGTCTTTTTTGTGTGTGTGTGGTAACATGTCTGTATAAAACATAGGATAGATGAATACTTCTTATGGCCAATATACAGTACCACAAATAATGTTCTTAACTCTCCTTAGCCATTTATTATTTTAGTAAACCAAATGACAACCAAGTATCTTGAAAAATTTAATTTACTACAAGGGAGTCTTTTACTATGACAGCATCTCACTTACTGATTATAAATCTTGTTTGGGTGATGTAGAAAAAAATAGTTGGCTTTAAGAAATACTGTCTAATTAAAAAAAAGAATACAAAACTAGTATTATTTCCAGGACTTAACCAATCATACCTCAAAACCATAATCCCTAGTATAAGAAAACACTTGAATTTCACTATTTAAAAGATAAACTTAGTGGTATCTATTTTAACTATTAAGTTATCACTAGCCCATTTATTAGGGAAAATAGTTTAAAATATGGAGACATAATCTTGTATAATAAAGATATACATACTTTAATTAATAAAGATATACATACTTAAGCATACTATACTCAAAACTGTTTGAAGTGAAACTGGATAACAGAACTACCACTATCTTTTATTAATGTGGGTACCTCATATATTTTCTTTATATACACGTTGTATTTTAGACCACAAGAGATAACTCAGAAAATGAGTCACTACTGAAGGTTTACTTTTCAATAAAATAGAATGGAAAATATTAACAGTTTTAGCTAAGGTCATCTTTCTTCCTCTCACCTTTAAGAGAAATAGAGGTTTTGAGATATCCCACTTAATATTTCAGTTGAGTATTTTCCAATAAAATGAAAGAAAGGATACTGTAATTAATTCAGAATGTAAATGTTAGTTGCATAATTCTATGGTTATTAAAAACAAAAGACTCTTAAATCTTTAGGCAATTAAAATTTTATTTGCATAGTTCCTGAAAGGAAAACTTTGGCCATATTCTATAAGATTATGTTATAACTGTTTTATAATATGAATATGTTAAGAATATTACAGAAAACATTTTCTGTTTTATTTTCTTCTGTTACATCTTGATTTCCATGATTCTAAGAAATGTGTTTATATCATGAAAACGGTTGATTCACAGCCCAGAGTTAATCCCAACAAGCCTTCTAAACACAAATACAGATAGTTAAGTGTGCTGAGGAGAGAAAGGAATAATGTGAAGATGAAAAAATAAGCTGTTAAAGGTATGTGATATGAAATCAAAGATCTCAGGATTGAAAGAAACCTTAGAAGCTATCAATTCTAACCCTCTAAAACGGGCTAAAAAACGGACTTCCTCTTACAGCCAAGATGAAATAATGGGCCAGATTTACTCTTCAATTTTCTTGCTTTAGATGGCTAGAAACAACCAAAACAAACAATCACTCCTGCCACAAAAAACCCGAAATGTGAAAGAATGATATTCAAGATATTAAACATCAGGTAACAAAGAACAGTGATCCCCAGAGAAACAAGAAGCAAGTGGTTGCCAGCTTATTGCCTTAGTTTCTGAGCCACAAGCAGAGCCCAGCAGATTCCCTGAGTTGACGGGATGCAGCTCACAGTCTGAGGAGACCAAGTTATCTAGGATCAAAGCATGTAGTACCAGAGTGGATACAGCTGCAGAGGGAGAATGCCACAAATCTGAATAGGACATCCCATGGGTTTTTGGCAGAGTACTGATCAGTGAAGGCTGTGAGGTAACTAACAGACTAAGGAAAGGACCACACAAAAAATTAGAGGACACAGAACCCAGCATTCATACAGGGCCAAAATTAGTGCATGTTCCCACCAGACAGAGTGGAAAACCTCAAAATTCACGGAGCACTGGGTAGAACATTCAAAAAAGTCTTGCCTCAGTAGTGGGAAATAATTAGCTCTAGACTAAACATGGCACTAGTCCTGCCAATACATCTTAAAGGCAAGATCTGAAAGGGTCACATTATTTCCAAGCAATAGCACAACAAGCCTTAAGAATATTTATAAGAACATAAAAATATCCAGTACTCAACAAAATAAAATCCACAGTATCTGGCATCTCAACAAAAATTACCAGGCATAAAAAAATTGACCCATAATGAGAAAAATCAATGATTAAAACTGACCAATGATTAGAACTGACAAATGTGCGGATCTGCAGAAAAGGACACCAAAACAGCTATCATAAACTATTTTTTTTTTTTTTTGAGACAAAGTTTTGCTCTGTCACCAGGCTGGAGTACAGTGGCATGATCTCAGCTCATTGCAACTTCCACCTCCCGGGTTCAAGTGATTCTCCTGCCTCAGCCTCCCAAGTAGTTGGGAATACAGGCACGCCCACCACACCCAGATAATTTTTCTATTTTTAGCAGAGACAAAGTTTCACCATGTTGGCCAGGATGGTCCCCACCTCCTGACCTTGTGATCCACCTGTCTCAGCCTCCCAGAGTGCTGGGATCACAAGCATGAGCCATTGTGCCTGGCCATAACTCTGTATTTAAAATGATGTTTATGTTAAAAAAGTTAAGGAGAGGTATGGATGACATAAAAGAGATCCAAGTTAAGCTTCAGGAGATGAACATTTCAGTGTCTGAGATGAAAAATACACTGAATGGGATTAATGGCAGATTAGATATTTGAGAAGAAAATATTAGTAAACTGAAGACGTAGCAATGGCAACCATGCAAAATGCAGAAAGAAGGAAAAATAAAAAATTTAAATGACAACTTCAAACAGCCTAATATACATGTAATTGGAATCCCCAAAGAGGGGGAAGGACTCAGGAGAAATACTTAAAGAAATAAGGCTATAAACACACATAAGAAGCTCAACTAATCCCAAATAGCCAAAAAGAAAATTATAGCAAGGCACATGATAATCATGTTGCTCAAATCCAATGTTAAGAGAAAAATCTTAAAACTGGCCACATGAAAAATGCACATCGCATACAAGGAATAAAAGGTAATGACAGATTACTCTCTGAAAACTGCAAGTAAGATGACAGTGGAACAATTATCTTTAAAGAACTGAAAGGAAAAATATGCCAACCTATAATTCTATGCCTACAACAATTATATTTGAAAAAGGCAAAATACAGTCTCTGACATAAAAAGTGAAAAGAATTCATATACCTGTACTGTAAGTCTTTTAGGCAGAGGAACATAATACCAGAAGGGAATATGAATTTATATAAAGCAATGAAAAACATCATTGAGAAGATTTTTGTTCATTATTATCTAAACCTGTTCAAAAGACAACAGAATAAAACGGACAATCCTAGAAAGGCATAAACAAAACTGATTTAAGAAGAAATATTAGATCTGAATAGACTTATATGACTAAAGATTGAATTAATAATTTAAAAAACAACTACTCACAATGAAAAGTCCAGGCCCAGAGGCTTCACTGGTGGAATCTACCAAACATCTAAATAAGAATTATTATTAAATAAGAATTATCTTCACACAGTCTTCCAAAAACTAGAATAGGAGGAAGCATACTATAAGGTCTGTATTATCCTGCTACCAAACCTAAAGACATTAAAAGAAAATCACAGGCCAATATCCTATATGAATATGTGCAAAAATTCTCAACAAAAATACTAGCACGATGAGCCCAGCAA